CGACCCCAAACATTTTAAACCCCCTCTTTCCAGCCTAGCAGCAGCCGTATAAACTGTTGCTTGGTCCAGGCTCTGTCAGACGCGTCATTCTTTTAGCCAGACCTGCAAGTTCACCGCCTTCCCCGCAGACTCCTGCATGGCAGGATCAGATGCCCGCGGTTCAGCTCCCCAGCCCTCTGCACCCCTGGAAAGCCTTCTCACAGCGGGTGCTGGGGGTGTCTGTGACCGGGGTGGGCCAGAGACGCGACTGCATGATGGATCTCTCCTCCACAGGCCGCAGAGCAACTACGGGCTGGGGAGGAGTGGCTGAGGGTGCGGGAGGGAGGGCTCAACATCTGTTTTGGGAGGGCTGGCAGGTGCCAGGGGGGTAGCCACACACATGCACAGATCCGCGTGCACCACACCGTGATGCTAACATCTGAATCAAGAAAGCAGGGATCTCGGGCTATAGCTCACTAGGGACTCCCCCTCCCTCCACCCACACGCAAGGCATATAACAGAGAGGGGTAGTGACTTCTCAGAGCATGGCCCAGAGCTGACGCCGTGCCTCCCTCCACACGCACCAGCCCGAGCAGAGCTGCCGTCACTCAGGCTGCTATATGTGTCACTCTCCTCCTTGCTGAGGGATGCTCTGGCCGTTTGGCCTATGTGTGGACCCAGAGAAGGGCAGAGGAAGCCTCCAGGCATGCAAGGAGCCCACAGCAGGTCTCAAGAGAGCAAGTGAGCATGCACCAGGCCAGGGGGCCAGTGCTGACATACACCCACCTCCACATCTGTGTCTGGCTGCTTGGAGCAGATGGTGCCTGGAGGGGTTAGAGAAAGCAGGCTACAGCCCTAAGGGGAAGGGAGGGCAGGCGGACGGGATCCTGTGGCTCAGCTCAGGGACCTGCACTGGTATCGGGGAGGAGACAGCAATGTGCGGACAGCTCCAACACCAAGCAGCAGCTCATCAGAGACCAAAACAAAGCAGCCTGCTTCCCACCCCCTCCCCGCCCCTGCCACGACGCCAAGAAACACCTACAGTTATTGAGGAAGAGCAGCACGGCAAATCCCAGGGTGGAGGTGGCCAAAAGGATGAGGCAAATGTTACACGGGATCATGAAGTAGCGCACCACCAGGGAGACTTTGTGCTGGTACATGCGGTCCCGCTCCAGGGGCCCGGGCGCTATGGGGTACTGGCAGGCCGTCATGCCGCCGCTGGCAGGGGCGCAGCTTTCCACTGGCACATCCAAAGCAGAGGACCCCCCCCGAGGGGCACAATACTTGCAGAGCCCCCAGGAGCTAAGTTTCCCCAGGGATTCCCATCCTCCGGCAGGCGCGGGCGGGTGGGGGGCAGGCGTGCCTCGGCTTCAGAAAAAAGAGTTTACCGCCACGCGCCCCATCTCTCCAGCCCGCCCTGCACCACGTGCGTTAGGTCCCAGGCCCCGACGGGGGACCCGGAGGACTGACGAGGAGCAACTCCACAAGGACTAGCGTCGTCCCCGGTTCAAATCTCCTCCGAAGGCCAGACGCAGCGGGTGGGGGCCCAAGGACCCGCATCCACACGCCAGCCACGTGCCTCCCCAAGGTAATAGGAAAGAAACAGCCGCTGCCCTGAGATTTCCAAGCAGGAATCCAAGCTGTGGGATGAGGCGGAGAGAAATCCCAACTGGCAATCACTTCTTAGCTCCCTGCTGGCCTGTCTGGCCAGCTCCTCAATGAGGGGCCGGCCCCGAGGAGGGTGGGAATCCACTAGGAACCAGCCCAACGCCTCCGTACGGAAGGAAAGTCCAGATTCAGGGGAGGGGCGCAGCTGCCCTGTTAGTCCCCAGATTCAGACGCTGGCCTGATCTCGCCCCAGGGAAGCCCCGAGTGTCTTTGGTCCATGTGTCCATGCGACTGTAAATCCTCGAGGGGGCACGCCTCAGTCTCTGCTCCCCCTCGGCCGTGCAGAGGATGCTCCTTCCAGGGAGCTCAGCTCTCCGTCAGCCCACGCCGCAGCCCGGGGCAGGAGTTCCCTCTCCACGCTGACAGCGTGGCTGCGCGTCCAGCCCCACTGAGCTCCAGTTTCCTAGAGAGCAGCCGGCCTGCAGCCCTCCTCTGCCTCCGTCTCTCCCCGCACGAACGGGGAGCCGGTTCCTTCGCACCCTTCTGCCCCTCCTCCACGCGGGGGGCAACACTGGGGTTTAGCACGAGGGTCCGGCTGCTACTCCTCCTCCTCCTCTTCCTCCTCCCCGAGCCGGTACCACCGCCTCTCAGAGCCTGCCTGCAGGGCAGCACCTCCAGCACGGCTGGGACGGGCCAGCCCCCCTTCTCATGCCGCTCGGACATGCCAGTCCTTCGGAGGGAGAGTCCAGCTCCTGGCTGAGCCGGGCATGGAGGGAACCAAGAGCAGCCAAGCCCCTGGGAGTTCCCGCAGCAGCCGGGGTGGGCAGAAAAGGGGACCCGGAGCCCACCTTGCTGGATGTCCCTCGCCCAGCCAAAGGCCGGTGCAGCACAACACAACCCCTACCAAAGCAACGGCGTTACCTCCTGCTCCACGCACCCAAGTTTCTTTCTCAGCTGCCAGCCCCACGCCAAAGCACGGAGGGCTGGGCGAGCCCAGGGTGGTGAGTTAGGGACCGGTCTGCACCCCTCTCTCCATCCGGTCTTCTAGGCACCGGGGCTCCTCTTCTAGGTTGCCCCTGCGAGAGCTTCGTCCCTCAGGCACCACAGGTCCCTTCAAAGCATCTCCGCGCAGGGACAGAGGTGGAGGGGGGAACATAAAGGGCTGGTGTGGCGAGAGGAGGAGTAAAAGGAGCCCCGGCGACTCGGACGGCTGGCTGGATCCACGGCCCCGGTAGCCAGCAGCGTGCGGGAGAGGCAGACTCAAACAAAGGAGAAGAGGCTTTGGGGAATTCGCAGCCCTGGCTGCTCCGGGGAGTTCTTCGCTGGCGAGAGCACAAAAGGAAAGGGGAGGGTGCTTCGTGCCTCAGCTCGGCGCCTCTGCCCCTGCCGTGGCACCGGGGCAGAAACACCTGTGTGCATCTCCGCTCTGCTCCGCGATGGGAGGGGGTTGGGGGAGCCGCCGATGGACAGGGAGCTGCTGGGATATTCCACTCACTTCTCTCCCTCTCGCCACCCGAGAGCATGGAAAGCAGAGCAGCCCTCCACCCTCCTCCTCCCGCCCCCCCACCGGCTTTCATTCGCGAACTAAAGATGTTGAGAGGGGCGGAGACTGCACTGTCAAAACTCATTATGCCTCTGCTCCCACCCGAGCCCTGGGCACCTTCCACTGCCCCAGCAGAGGGGCAAAGAGCTGCAGCCAGTCCCTGGCCGTTTGAGGCATCAGGGGTCCCCCCCCATGCAGTCAGAGACCCCAGAGGAAGGAGCCTTTGGAGATGCATGAGCGCGTGCAAAGCAGAATGGCTGACGGCTGCACCTCACCGTGAAAATATACAGGATCAGACCTCATGGGGGCCAGAGAAGGGGTAGAGAGATTATTCCACCCCTCCAGCTGTGGGTCAAGACTAGCATGGTGGGTGCACAGAGGTAATGGGTGGCAATGGGCTTTGGATCACCCAAAAGTTTGGATTAAGAAAGGGAAGGGTCAAGCGGGTGAGACGCTGCACTCAGCCCAGGGCACAAAGGTTCTTGCCTTTCCATCCTGGGTGATAGGTCCGGCAGGCAGGGTGTGAACGCAGGGGAAAGTGTGTCACTTCAGGAGACAGATGTTCATGTGACTACAGCTGTCACGTAAGCAAGGGAGCCTCATGCCTCCGGGGACTGCTGTGAGCCTCTGAGCCATCCCTGCCTCTTGCCCAACACGGTTGGCAAGACCCAAAGTATAATGCTGCCAGAGGAGACGCAAGGGAGAGCTGGGCTTTGGGTGTCGGAGATGAACGCCACTGGTAGGATGCCAGGGAGAGAGGTAACAGGGGAAGAAGAGGTCCCAGAGAGATGGTCTCAGTCCATACCTCCAGGCTTTGAGCAGGGAAGAGGTACACTTGGCCTCTGATGATCCAATACTCAACGGCCAACCCAACACCAACAGGCTGCATGGGTCTTGCT